TCGAATCCAGCCAAGCTCCCACCCTCCATCTGCCAGTCTTTGGGAGAAAACGATCCCGAGGCCCAAGAGGAGCATGTCTTGGGACCAGTAGACCAGCAAACCGAGCATGCAATGCCACGCGTCTTGCGCCTCCTCTTTCAGCCGCTGGGACCACAGCTCGGAAGGCTGGTAAGAGTCCGCAGCTGAACTCAATTTGAAAGGCTCCAGTGCTCAGCTTAGCAAGGGCTCGCGTGCCCCTGGATGTCCGGGTCATATCACAGCCATGAGACTCGAGCCAGACATTATTTAAACACCAATCTCGCCCTCTTCCCTGACAACATCTTTTGGAATTGGAAGCATCTGGTGGGCTGAAAGCTGCAGAAACAAAAACGTAAAAGAACGCCTGCCCCGCGCTCGGTGCGCCGGTCACAGGGAAGGTCCCGTCCGTTTTGGCGGTTTGAATTGGTCAATGGAACGCCGTCATTGGTTTCTTGCTTGAGAGGTGGGGCCTGCTACTCTATTTTTGTCCTGACGTCATCTCCAGCACGTCAGTCGCGGAACGTGCATCTCTGATAAGCTTGATCCGGCGGATCTTATCGATAAGTCCCAGCTGCCCATCCCGTCGAAAGCCGCATCTTCTGCCCTGCTGTCAACTGCGACATGCATTTGTTGCAGCTCCTGTGAAATGTCGAGTCCTGGTCGCACGACAGCCCGGTACGATGCATAGGGCGAAATAGAGCATGGCACATGTGCCGAACTCCGGCTTGTCCTTGTCATGGCGCCATTGCGAGCCGCCTGTCGCAAGTTTGCATTGGTCTGGACTGGTACCGAGCGGAAGGGTGGAAACCTGAATTTTGGCGTTTCTGCATCTTTGGCGGACGACAGCCGTGACGTCACAATATCGGCAGATCGTACTGCCATTGTTCCTCGGGAATACCCGCCCATTGATCGTATACCAGGGAGACGGAGGTCCAGAGTCAATTGGACTTTTCTGAGGATCTGATGTTGTGAATTTTGAGTTTTGGGTTGGGTTTAATGTGGCCTTAAATTTCTAGGTGAAGTGCTACGCATCATGGCTTCAAGTGAGCCCATGAGACTTTCTTTACCTACTGAGACCACTCTATGAAGCATATTCGAATCATGAGAGTGCACATTTCTCAACAGATAGTGTGTCTAGACCAATAACTGAATCGTTGAATCTTTGAATTGCCGAGCCTCATGCCCTTACTGCCACCACGAAACGACCGCACTTCGTCGCAAGCATCGTCTCTTTGATATAGTTGTTAATTCTCAGGAGATCCGTCACGGACACGCTTACGCAGAGTTTCTGGGCGCGGCATCAGATCTGCTAGATCCGATCGTGTTTATCATCGGCATTCCTTGATCTACATTAGAACACATCTAGGTCCTGTCTTCCCACGTGTATCTGCCCATGCGCCCGCGCTACCGTTAACCGTCTTGTCTTGAATAAGCACAGCTTCAACGTCTGAATTGCGTCCTCCATGTCTTGTTTCAATGACCAAGGTAAGACAACCATGACAAGACAACCGTCCATCATTCCAGCTTCCCAACCCATTAGTGAAACACCAACGCCCGGATATCGATACTCTGCCGACACTCCATCTCATCCATCTCCGGGTCCCGAAAAGCACAATGCGCAGCCCTCCGAACGACCGACGTATCCGAATCAAAACACTTGATGAACAACGCCTCATCCGGCTTCTGCCCATCCAAAAAGTACCACCGGTGCGCCGGATTCGGCTTAATCGTCCACGTCTCGGCCCGGTGACGGGGATAAATAATCGCGCCCGGGACAAGGTCCTCCTCCGCGACCGTAGTCCCGTCCGCGACGGCCAGCGGGTCCCGCCGCACCGTCGCAATAGGCCGCCAGATGTTGATGATCTGGAACCGGCGCTTCTCCTTGTCGATGAGTCTGTCGGCTTCGTCCGCGCCGAGGTGGTGCCTCGCCATCATGACGGCGCCGTCGTAGGACTGGTCCACGTGCGCCTTGTGCAGGGGGCCGCGGTGCTCCGTGTTGCGTTCGCCTAAGCTGTGCCAGTTTGCCGGCCCGCGGCGGATCTGGTGGTTGAAGATGACGACCCGGCTTGCTCCCGTGCTGTTGGTGTTGACCCCTGGTGAGCATGGGCCCTCAATTGTGAAAGTTGGCCCCCACTGGTGTATATAATAAACCTTACACCGCCCAAAAGCTGCCCACTTTGCGGCCGGCTTGGATAAATGAAAGCGTGCAAGACTTACATTTCCTTGTACAGCTTCTCCATCTCGGGATAGTAGACGCCCTTGACCCGTTCCTCGTCTGTAAAGTCCGTCTCAACGCTAGTGTGGCGGACGTACTGGAAGCCGTGGGTGTCGAGGGTGTACTTATCCTCTTCGCCTCTGATGTCGGTGACGGTGACGGTGCGAGGTGTCATTTTCCTCTCATTCGTGACTTTCTGACTGGAATTGAACAAAAGGCATGAGTACTTCGAGCTATTGACACGGTACTCGAGAAATGTGAAGTCTTGAAGACATGGATATTGGAAAGCGGCCTTACCCCCCTACAACGATTGGGGTGGGAGGGGTTCCATCTCCAGGGTCGTCATAGTAGTTTATGGTGGTGACGACTGCACGTCTCTCTGGTCTTTCGGCTTCTGTGGACTTGATCTGTGCCGTGTCCGGCAGAGGCTGGTGATTTGTTGTTCCCACGGCCATCTTTGTATCTCTGATGCTATGATATCGTACCACAAGACAACTGTCTCAATTGATGAGATGGGTTTGGAGATTCGGTTCGTCCCGCTGTGTATTGTCTGTAATGTACTTGAATATGTGCAGATATGTACGAATATGACTTAGACGACAGAGTGTGAGCAACTAGCAATGAGAAGACCAAGGCATCGAAGGCAAGATACAATATCAGATCAAACCAAAATACACGCAAGGGAGCATCTCAAGATGAGAAACACAGTGGTCCCTCATCTACGAACTGGAGATTTGCGAGCGGAGTCCCTGGCAGCCGGCGGCACGGCAGAGGGAAGAGGGCCGACTGGACGGAGCTCCGCCTTCTCCTTTTTCCGCGACCCCGCGATGGACTGTGCCCCATGCGTCCATGCACTGTCCCAATCGCACGTGATTGGGGTTGAACGGAATGAGGGGTAATCATTATCCGCACTGTACCGACGTATCAGGAACGAGCAGCCGGTCAAGTGGATCCGACAACCCCACTGTGACAGCTTGGGCTTAGCGCGTTGGATCTCCAATGGGCGGTCCAGGTCCCAGGTGGTGGGGTTTCCAGGGAGAGGTCCCCGCCATGGCCCATGAGAAGCTCCTGCTGGCTGCTGCTGCGGTGGTGCTGCTACTGCTGTCCGGGTTGCTGCGTATGCGTGGCTTCCCGGGGGGCCATTTGCTTGACCGCCCCTCGATTCCCGTCCTGTCCCTTTTTTTGGGTTTCGCTTCTCGTCTGAACAGCTCCTGGAACATCTGCTCTTTACCTGTCTACATCTCCTCCCTTTCTTCTACGCTTCTACTCTCCTATTCTTCTTTCTCTCTCATCAAACACATCTTTCAAACACATCAACAAACCCCCTACATCAGACACAATGGCCGCTCAGATCCCTCCCGGAGGAACCTACCTCGACACCTTCAAGAAGTCCTTTGTCGATGTCAAGCCTGACGCCGACAAGGAGAATGCCATCCCTACCTCCGACTTCCTCGATGCCTCCGAGTCTCTGACCACCATCTTCGGTATGTTCCCCCAGCACGGCTGCTCTCTCTCAACACCAGAGGAGACACCGAGCCTTTGATGGTTTCCATGTCTCTAACGAATATCCCCTCTTCTAGATGCCCTTGGAGGCGTTGCTTTCGGTCCCGTCAAGAGCGACATGGGCGGCAACATCAAGGTACGACTTCACTCCTCTCGATACCCCCGACACCCTTTACCACATGTTCCGAATCATCCCTTGTCACGAAGCTCGGATACTACCATATTCCTCCTACAACTACATCCAAAAGACGTTGACGAACAATGCCTGACTTATCCATGTACAGAAAATCCGTGAGCGCCAGCTGGCTGCTCCCGGCGAGTCCGCCACCCTTCAGGAGCTCGTCAAGGCCGAGCTGGCCACCAAGAAGCACGTTGCCACCGAGGGTCTCCTCTGGCTGGTTCGGTAAGTCTGCCTCTGAGCTCCCTTTATCACCGACAACGCAGCGGCCAAAACTAACAATACCATTCTGCCAGTGGTCTCGAGTTCACCTGCATCGCCCTGAGCCAGAACGTCGCCAAGGAGTCCGAGGAGCTCTCCGAGTCCTTCCGCAATGCCTACGCCACCACCCTCAAGCCCCACCACAGCTTCCTCGTCAAGCCCATCTTCAGCGCCGCCATGAGCGCCTGCCCCTACCGCAAGGACTTCTACGCCAAGCTCGGCTCCGACCAGGACAAGGTCGCCGCTGAGCTCCGCGTCTACCTCGCCTCCCTCGAGAAGGTTGTCGGCATCCTCAAGGGCTTCCTCGCCAGCAAGGACGCCAAGTGGTAAGCGCAAACAATGCTCTTGTGCGCGCTGACCGAGAAGAATCAAAGGCCCCCCAAAGAAAGCGGGGACCAAAAAGAAAGAGAAATAAACAACGAACAATGACGATATGATGGAAAGAACAACATGTCCTGTCAGTGTCCGCTGCGATGCTAGTACATCGTCAGCCACGAGCCAGTTTACGCAGCCTAGAAATGAATCACAACCTCGAAGCTTGAACCAAATATTTTTCTTTGAGCTTTATGCAATCGAACAATGGCGAGCTTACACAATCACCTTTGACACTTTTGAACTCTCCTGGAGCCATAGTACACAATGTCGAGAGTCGTGAAACATCCTTCGTATTTAACAGGGCTTGTCAGCACACTCATGGACATTTACTTCGCACAACAGACACATAACAGATAACATCCACACAGCGACAACACTCAGACCCCATTCATCACCCCATCCGATTTTCTTCAACAAAAGCAACCTTTGATTCTTCAAACATACTGCAATATGTCTCCTCCAGACCAAGTCACCGAGCAAAGCAAGTTCCAAATTCAGTTGCCGGCAGAATTGTACCTTGAGATAGCTCAATGGCTCGGCCAGTTTCAGGCCGAGACAAAGGGGCGAGAGTACGTGATAGAAACATACGTATTGCCCGCCGACGACGACGTTGAGAATGCCATTATTAGGGACTTGAGGGATGTAGAATTTTCAAGCACCATCATATCAGCCGCCAAGGAAATGCATCCCACAATGGCCATGCTCAACGCGGGCATGGTCAATAAGTACTACCACAAAGCGATCAACGACATTGCTCTCCGGTGGGACGCTCAGAGCGAAAACCCCAGGGCCGTCTACCACGCCGCAGTGCACAACAACGTTGCTCTCCTCCGCCAGGCCCTTGAGAAGCCCGGAGCTAAACCGGACTACGTCCCACACAGCCTAAAGCCGTCTATATGGACACCACTCATGGTGGCTGCGTCTAAAGGCTATGCTCAAGTCGTGGACCTGCTTCTACACAAGGGGGCTAATCCAGCACTAAGCTTCGCCGCCCGTCATCGTTCATGGTGGGAACCGCGTCCATTTGCTGCAAGCCCAGAGTCAGGTATTGGCTTGTATGAGTTTGACAGAGACCTTTATGGGCAGCCCTCGCCCCTCCATGCCGCTATGCTGGCTCCCGAGAACGCGTTGACCATATCCAAAACTATTCTCAGGTCTCTCCCACCACGCTTCTTGACCAAGATTTCCGATCCGCATGGACTCTTCCTTGCTATTGCTGTTGCTCGAGACCATGTCGATTTGGTGGACATGTTGATCAATCGAGGCGCAGATTTTGACCATGGAGGCATAACTAGCTTCCATATGAATACTCCGGTACTTCATCACGCCGTCTCCGGCGATATGGTTCGCAAACTGACCCTAGCAGGTGCGCCGCTACATACACCTGTCGAGTTCGGCCTCAATGCTCTCCATGCTGTCTGTCTCCGTCAGACAGATTGCTCTTCTGCAATAAGAGAGCTCGTCCGACAGGGCGTTAAGTTGGAAGAGACCACGACTAGCATAGACCTACGACCACCTCCGATCCCTCAACATGGACGTCTCCGGAAGATCCCTCAGACAGCTCTCAATCTCGCATGTAGGCAGCTCAACGTCGCTCACATCCGAACGCTGCTCGAATTAGGCGCTCACCCACTCGGGGCATGTCTTGAGGAGAGCCCTAGGAAGAAGATGAAGGGCAGTAAGTCCGTGAAGGATAGCGAGCTCTATAAGGTGACACCCCTTCACGATTTGTTTCTACCTGACTACTTTCTCTTGGAAGCACACTATAAGAGCAATGAGGAAACAGCATGCGCCATCAAAGCGGCTTTCAATTTGTTAATAAGCCACCCTCTGGCTGTCGAAGCAGTATCGTCTTACGGGAACTTTACCCTTGGGTTCCCAAGCAGCGATCTCATGCACAGGATTTCAAGATCATTCTGGATGAGTGACTACAGTGATTACACCGGCGACTTTGGTAGGTTCACCCCTCTGCAAATCTTTTTCGTTCATCCTTTCTCGGACGATCCCGAGATTCCACAGGCCATGTTCGACTTGGTAGAAGATGGTAAGGATCAGATCAACGCCATCATAAAGCCGCTCTACATCACGCCGCTCCTGGCTCTCCTAGGCCACCGCTTCGACCATTCTCTCGGCGACGCAAACTTTTACCGGCCAAAATTGCTCAAGTGGCTTCTGGAACACGGCGCCGACCCGAACTTGTGCGACAAGGAAGGCTTCTCGCCCCTCCACTATGCAGTGTTCTGGCTCGATGCTCCGGCCGTCAAGCTTCTCCTTTTACACGGCGCTCAGGTCAAGCGCGAGGACGAACTCCAGGTCATGGACGTACTGTTCGGTGGTGTATTCACCAGAGCGCATCAAGAACAAGCAAAAAGATATCGTCACTCCCGGGAAACCGAATGGGCGCGTATGGTGGAGCAAGTCGGCACAGAGTGGTCGACGCACGGCATCGGCAGTAACATTGAGCGCTGGCAGCCCGGCATGCCGCTGCCCGCATGTACGCTCTTCAACTTCGAGGGTAAGTTTATGTTCGAACTGGATGAAGAGGCTCCCGTGCCTTCAGAGCTCGTGACGCGGTGGGGAGGGTTACGTGAGGCTCTGAGGGGGGATGCTGACGAACGTAGGAAGCGGATCTTTGCGGCGCTGCTGCGAACGCCAAACGTGCTGCCCTTTTTGAAGCCCAGGGGGGTAATGGAACGTGATGGTGAGGTGAACCTTGGCGAGGACGGGTCCGGTCCTGACACGATTCGGTACAGTGTTTTGGACTGGGCGAGGGCGACGGCCCAGAAAGGTTGGTTTCTTCGTAGGATTAAGCGACTTGGAGGGGAGACTGGAGATATCCGGCCCAAGGCGAGGCTGGAGACATACGGCCGTTGTCCGTAGAAGTTTTTCTGTTCTCAGGAACGGAAGGCTGTAGGTAGACGAGATCTAAGAAGTCAAAACATTTTTCCAAATCTCTCACGTCAGAAGTGTGAAGTGATGCAACATGTATAGTTTAGTGAGTGCAGGTAGTTAGTCATAGAAACATCCATCAGTCCAGACCCGCAGTCTGATATCCTCCTCTTCTTCATCTAAGTTAGGTTTTCGTGTTGCATCAAGATGCCCAACACGAGATACAGGAGCAATCTTGGAGGAGCTTGAGATAATTTTGACCACTTGTCGATGGGATCTTGAGCTATCATGTGGAGAATACTCTGTGTTATCTTTCGCAAAGATATTAGATATTGTAAACACGATGACTACTGGACAATATTAGGAGCCAGATCCACAGTGTTAGCCCCCAAGATGGTTTCTGTGTGGAAAATCCATAGTATTGCGTCCATGATCGAAGACGAGTAGAAGATGGCCGTGGCGGCTGCTTAGTGTTTTCTGAAGTCGGCAAGGACGAGCACAACATGGAGGATGCCACGTTGTTGAAAAGCACGTTGCTTATTGCGGCGGGGATGTGTTCACTCAATTTGTCGCGAGGGAACCTAGTATATGGATTGAACATATTCTCCCACTGAAAATCAGGATAATTAAACTTGAAGATCTTGTATGACCCAATAATTTCTGATAGATGTTCCAAACCTTGAGGGAGTATGAACAAGTGCTCACATGCTTGAATGCTTCGGATATTCTCGCATCAGCAACACGGGAGAGAGAGCTCGAGCGAACAAGCAATGAAAAAGATCAAATTCCTCATCGTCACGAATCTAAGTTCTGGACGATATTCGACCAAACTCTCAAGGGGAACACCAAAGGTCACAGCCAGCTTGGTGATGAGGAAACATGACCGGCGACCAATCTATGTAGCTCTGCGGGATGGATGTTGAAGTTTTGATCTCATCAGCGAAGCCGGCGGAAATACATGTGTCCATCACTTTCGATGTCGCTTACGCTTTTCCACCAGACCTGACAGGGGTCAGGGTTCCGATGAGATGTCAGAGAATCTAGACCGCCCATCGAGGAGGTCATCTGAGAAAGTGTCGATCTGCGACGGGGTCCCCCCTCTCAGGGCTGACTCGGGCTCTCGCGAAATTCATAGAGGGGCTCCCGCTGGGTTCTTTTGAGAAAGGAAGTAATCCTCTTCATTTCGTGATGGTCTTTTGATAGCTTTGTCCAGACGTTCGATGAGATCTGTTCATCTGATCTGAGTCAGTAACCGTCGCCCGTTGCAGGGGAAATGAGAGGATACTGAATATCTCGTGAAACCAACAGACAACGCCCGAGCTGGAGAAGAGATAGATGGATATGTTCGTGGACCGCCATCCTTTCAATTACACAAGGCATATGGTGAAGCTATTATGTATGGCTTCGTTGGGAAAAACGGCTGATACCATCCGGACGGCTGCGTGATGTGTACTCAGGGAAGACCCAGCACAGAAAGTCGACTGAAGGAGCCATTGCCCTGAGATCTCAAACATCTCTGACTCCTAGCTCGATAGTAAACCAATACAGAACGTTGCAGAATATCTGTGTTGTCATGAGATGACAATCTTTTTTAGAGATCGAGGCAATATCGTTGCCTGGGATCTTTGACTGACGTCGGGCTTCTCTTCGGACCCCGGCCAACAGGTTGCATCAACTTACCAACAGGCTGCCTGCTTGCCCGAGTGCGAGTATCCGTAGTACTAATTAACAATGGGGGCCTATGTTGATTACGGAGTAGCCCGCGATCGAGCGGAAGATGAAAGCCACAGGGGAGAAAGCTTCGATCAGTCAGGCTCGGACGTCATCCGCGCGCCTGCAATGAGAGTGTGTCCGTAGTTTGTCTCCAGAGTAATCCCATGACAAAGTAGTGGCAAATTATAGGACTGATGTTTAGGCAAAGAGTTGGACAAGGATGGTATTGGTGGAACCTGATGAGATCTATATCCCACAGTGCAGTCTATCTCGTATGCGACATTCCGTACGGACGCCTGCATCCCGGGTCTTGGGCTGCTGCGCAGTTGAGATGCGTAGAGGACCTGGAGGGATTGTGACCATCTATATGAAAGTTCTGGGGCTGTAGCGAGAGTGAAGGTAGCTGCGGATGGCCGCCGGGTCAAAGGTTATACACTCAACAAAAATGATGGTAATCTGCGGGAAAACGCAGTTTTCTTTTTTTCGCCTCTTGAGTCTTGACTCGTGGCGAATTGCCTCGAGATAAAGTTTTAGGTGATCTAGAGATTGGTCCTGTATGGGCCTTGTTCCATCGCAGTAAAAGAATCGAGCGAGCAGGTAGCAAAAGGTGCGTGCAAAGGTTAATATGTTTGCTAAGATTGCGCATTTGGCAAGGTGGGAGGGCGTCGTGAGATTACCCGCTGTTTCTTGCTCTCATTGTGCCCCGGGCCGGAGGGGTATCCGCTCATCGGCATGAAATGCCGAACAGAGTTCTTGGGGAATTTGCTCGGATTTGGTTTCCGGATATACTGTGATGTAGGTAGCTGGGAAAGTTGTCCCAGCTGTCTGTCACCTTTGCACTCGAACCGAATTTCCGTAGTGCCATCCATGCTTGAGGTGAAAGACTATATCTAGCTTCTTTTTGAGGCGTCCGTGTGCAAATCACCAATGACGGAGAGAGAAAGTCTAATTGTTGGGAGACATAACCAAGATCCAGACGAATATGATCGACTGGGCGGAATACTACGTCGAAAAAAGGGTAGCGAGCAGCATGACGATCCAAAAGAGACCCTACGAATCACGGTTCCGGGTTTTGTCGGTATTTTCGTACGGGTACACTTTAGTTTGAGAAAAGAAGCGCGGGAGAGGCGCGGCGGCGGCGGCGGCGCCCAGCCAAGCCTACACTGGATCCCCAAGGCGTTACAACTTTGTTGGCTGGTGGAGTTGGGAGTGGGAGCCGGGGGTGCTTGGCAGGAGAATTTCGAAATGATTTTGGGATTAGCGTCAGGGGCGGGAGGTTCGTGTTGACAAGGGTCTTGAGTCCTAGGCGAGAATCCTCTTTGGAGACCGACACTGGCAGTCTGACTGGCCTTGTCGTGGGCCGTGACCCGTTATTCTTGAAAGAGGAGGACTGCGGCAGGAAGAGGAGGTCTAGAATTTCGGGGATTTTCAATGAACTGACTGTATGATTTGAGGGATTTGCAGCGGTTTAGGACGGGATGCTCGATGCTAGCTAGGCGCAGGGCGAAGGCGGCTATCTGCATGGTGGTCCATGGAATCACAGAGTATGGGTCGGGAAGTTTTTTGGCGGTTGGCTTGAGGCGAGGTGATGTCAATAACCTGGGGTCCTGTTAGAGAAGCGTTGGTGATATATGAAGACAAGAAAAGAAACCACCAGTCCGGCAATGGATAGGTAATCACTCAGTAACTATGGAGATGGAACCGCTCTTCTTGAAGTTCATCTACGGATGCAGTTTGGTCGGCTTCAAAAGGTGGTTGAAAACGATCGTTGATGAGATTCAAAATTGTGGATGGCTTCATAGTTCGTCAGAGAGAGGCTTGTTTCTCAACTCATACCTTACTCGGGAATCGAAATGATGGTGTGTGATGAGATTCGTGTGGATGACAAAGAAACGGGAATCGATTCAAGTTGAGATGAATACGAAAAAGGCGGGAAGAACAAAAACTTGAGAGAGAAAAAAAGTGTAATCATCATCCCAACTCGCATAGCAACACTCATGAACCGCCAATCTAGTTGCGACTCGGGTAAACGCTGAAGCGTCAAGGCAACCCCCGTCAGCGCTGACAGTTGTGACAAGGGATAGACAGGACGTTCACGCAGCGTCTGCAAGCGAGTGGAAAGAGAAACCGAGAAGAGAACAGACGGCAGCCGGGCAGACCAAAGCCTAGGCCCCAATGTTGAACCCATACGCGCTAGACTGATTAGGGGGCCAGCAGCCAACAAGATAAATTTAATGATTTAATCAAGAAGCTGGAAGATGAGCTGATGGCGGATGGATCATGGGTTGACAGAGCTTGTCTTTACGGCTGAGTTATTTAGTTGCGATGGCTGTGAGTCTGCAGCTGCGGAAGACTGGAAGTCGAGTGCCCTGTTCCCCGGATTTTCGGAATGTTCCCAAGCCTTGAAGCACTATCTCCTTTGTAAATCCATGGAAGAGCTGACAGACGAAAACAAAAAGACAGAAAGAAGAAGACAGTGACCGAGAAGAGTGGGATGTCGAGACCAGGTTCTTGAAACCAAGCGATCTGCAGACGGTGGCTCATTGGTGGAATGCGCTACGGTGACCCTGGACCATCCACTTGTTTGACATGAATTAAGGAGTGGGCGGGAGGCCGAGGCGCTGAAAGTGGTGGTGCTTTTTTACTTTGGAGTCTTCCCTCCACAGTCAACTTTCTCTCTCCCTTCCCGCGTACGCTACGGAGTGATACGTCTCTGACCGTACGCTTGGTAAGAGACCGATAGGCGCTAGCAGGCTGGTTCTCTTCTTTGGTGCCCCGTACTTCCGTAGCGATGGCCTAGTCTCTTTGCAGTTTCGCTGGACGGAATCACGGATACTATGCCTCGTGTAAGGCCTGGTCCATGAGCCGAGAGGCCCGTCGTCTGAAGTTGAGAAATAAGATCGGGTGTTAAAGGCAGGCCAAGCAGCCACCCGCGAATCCGAGCTTCTGCATGACAATCCCTTCCAGAAGTCTATCCATTGCGTGGGCTCTTGAATGTACGGTTATTAGTGTGTAAAATCAGAGCTTACCAAGATGAACCTCTCTAGGGAAACGCTGTCGGCTATTGGGGGTGAACCTGGCGGACACGGGAGGAAACGAGACGACGGCTGGCTCTGAGAGAAACAACGGAAGTTTAATACAGAGTACTTTACGTAGTGGTCGATGGTATCAGGGAAGTCGAATGCCGTCATCTCCCACCCAAAGCATCTTCAATGGTCCCTACACTCACAGTGTAAACGACGGTTCTTTGCCCAGAGTCCCGGAAACTCTAGCGCTTGGTCTGTCCACCGCCACTCCGTCTTGGTCTTCTTTTCTTCTCGGTTGGCGTTCCATAGCTTTTCCATCCAGAGTGAGAGAGTCTTACTCTAGCCCGCTGGCCACTCCATGTACACTAGCCAAAGCCACCCCGGGCCCCGGGATGGACGGGGTGGGGAACAGTCGAAATTGCATCCTCCGCCGCGTTTGCTGTGGTGAAACGGCCAGGGAGATTTGACCAGCCCAGGATCGTGTGCAATCGACTTACACGCACATACGCCCATCCAGATTACAGAGAGGGGTTACTCCGTACGTACAGAGTAAGGAACCACATACTCTATTGGGTCCTCGTCTAGCAATCTAGCCCTGTCGTCCTCGACTCCTCTCTGCCTGTCTATGACTGACACTGACACCGCGACGGCGGTGCTCTCCCGAAATCTCCAGAGACTAGAGTCCACACACCCCCCTTACCTGATGCTGGTCTATGCTGGCCATGTTGGTGGTAGTGGTGGTGCGGGTTCCCAATATGGGCAATATGGATCTTGTTGAACGGCTCCATTCGCGCCATTGTCTTCTTTAAATGGAGGCAAACACCGCACCTCCCAGCTAGACACCAAGGCTTCCTCTCTTCTCTTCTTCTTGCGATCAAGGGATTGTTGACCATCTCCTTGCCCCAACCGACATTCTTTTTTCCAGACATTCGTTCATTCACTCATTCAAACAAAGGCTCTAGTCCCTTTCACAAAGCTACCAAACGAAACATACACGATCATTTACTGAACTTTGAAAGTTCCTAAACTGCTATATACAACCAGCAAACATGCGTTTCTTCTCCGTCCTCGGCTTCGCGGCCGCGGCCGTTGCCCAGCTGACGTCGTCTTCCCTCGAGAAGCACGTCGATACCGCCACTATCAAGTCCTTCAACCCCATCAAGGAGGCTTACTGGACCGGTCTTCCTCACCACCGCCGCACCCCCTTCGCCGTCTCCCCCGACGGAAAGTCGGCCTGGCTCGCGTACCTCGACTCCTCCGAGACGGGCGTCCACGTCCAGCAGATCGACCCCACCACCTTCGCCGCCACCGGTGACCCCGTCACCGTCTCTGGTGGTAAGGAGGCCGCCGGTCTCGTCGCCCACAACGATGGTTTCGCTCTCATGACCAACGAGGTCCTCTCCGGCTCCGGCACCGACGTCGCCATCGCTGTTCTCTACCGCTACACCACCGGCAAGACCGAGCCCACCTTCAAGACCTGGCTCGGTGGCCCCAACGTCGACGGCAGCCAGGCCATGGCCTCCCCCGACGTCAACGGTGACCTCGTCTTCTCCGAGAAGGCCGGTTACTACGCTGCTTACATCGTTGTCACCGCTTACCAGGGCGATGCCACTGGTCACTTCGGTGATGCCATCCGCTACGTCGACACCGCCGGCAAGCTCACCTCCATCGCCGGCGCCTCCTCCAGCTGGGGCTGCTCCCACAACACGGGTATCGCCTTCGAGGCCGCTGACGCCGCTCCCTTCGCCTCCATCTGCGCTGAGGACCAGGGTGCCATCTGGCTCAACACCAAGTCCCAGGGCATGACCAACGACAACGTCAAGATCTCCAACGAGCACGTCATCAACGGCGGTGCCAACGAGGCCATGGGCGGCATGTCCGGCTCCTACTCCAACCTCGCCCGCTTCATCGGTGCCGACTCGTACATCTTCTCCTGGGTCTCTCGTGGCGCCATGGACTTGACCGAGAACTCGTGGATGGGCTCCGGCTACACCACTTCCAAGAACCGCACCAACAACCGCAACGTCGCCATCGCCCTCTTCTCCGACAAGAACACCCTCGTCGGCTCTCAGGCTACCTCCGTTGCCGGCACCGCCGACGGTGACTCCCAGGTCAACTGGATGACCTCTGGCTCCAACGACTGCTCCAACGCCCACGCCGCCACCTTTGACTCCTCCAAGGCCCTCGTCACCTGGGAAGAGATCTCCTCCCCCACCTGCGCCTTCGACGCCATGGGCTGCCAGGGTACCTTCGCTGGCACCAAGTTCCAGATGGTCGGCAGCGACGGCAAGAAGATTGGTGAGGTCATCAGCTCCGACGACACCTACGTCGCCGGCGACATGGTCACCATGTCCGACGGCCGCATCTGCTGGCCCTACGTCTCCATGACATGGAAGCTCGACGGCCCCGTCACCGGCTCCCCCGTCACCAAGATGTCCTTTGCCTGCATGACTGGTGGCGCTGGCTCCGGCACCGCTTCCTCCGCTGCTCCCGCTTCCTCCGCTGCCCCTGCCACCAGCGCCCCCGCCGTCGCTTCTTCCTCCGCTCCCGTCGCCGCGGCCCCCTCCACTACCGAGGCTGTTGACGCCGTCGCCACCAGCGCCGTGAACTCCGCTGACCCCACCTTCGCCTCCGGCACTGCCCCCGAGCCCATCTTCGAGACCATCTCCGGCCCGGCCTACAACCCCTCCGCTTCCGCCCCTGCTGCCGTCCCTACCTCTTCCCAGGCTGCCTCCGTCCCCGCTGAGGCCCCCGCCTCTTCTGCCCCGGCTGCTTCCGCCTCTGCCCCCTCCGGAGCTCCCATCCCCATCTTCGAGACTCTGTCCCAGGCCCCTGCTTCCTCTGCCGCTCCCGTCCCCGGCACCACCGTCTCCGAGGCCAAGCCCGAGCTCACCGCCACCCCCTCCGGCGCTGCCTCCAAGACCAAGAAGACTCGCACCCGCACCAAGACCCGCGGCCCCAAGCCCACTGGTGCCCCTGCCCACAGCGGCAAGTGCAGCACCCGCACCACCATCAAGACCGTCTACGTCACCGCATAAATGAGTAGATGATCTGGTGCAAACCTACCTTGTGGGGATGATGAAAATCAGGTTGATTCGAGAGGAGAGTGTAAGAGAGACGGAGTTTGGGAGTAGCAGCATTGAGTACATCTCTTCAGCAAGGTGAAGAGAGTGTAGCTCGATGAGTTTTCATGTACATACTATGTACGACTTGTACACAAATTTCCCGCCTCGCATCTTCTTTTCCCTTGCTCATCCGCTTGGATCGAGGGAATACGAAGAGCGAGTCAAGGCCACTGGCCGATTTTGAGCAAAATTGAACAAAGACTCAGTTCATCATCGGCAGTATTCCGGCGCGCCTCCCAATTTGCTTTTTACGTTCGTGTGCCATGTCCTTTATTTTGCGGGCCTCTTAGTCCCAAGTGAGCAGTTGACTAGGTCAATTATAGACATGACCGAAAGCGACGCGATGAGATGCGAGAGATTCGGAATCCGGCAGGTGAGTGTTGTGGAAAAGCCATGTGATGAACATGGAAGATGAGTCGTGCGCAGTTGTGAGAAACGATGGGGGGAAGATGAAGAGGGAAATGAGAACCAAACAGTAAGCGACGACCTCGCTGAGATCAAAGCGGCACCTTAACACTGATGCTAACGGCCAGTTCCGAACCAATAGACCCGCCGATGGTCTTCATAAGCAACTGATTGTAGACAAGAACCAACTAAAGTTGCAATCCTCTCTTTGTCAGCAGCCAGATGGACACCAAAGACCAGAGGGATTCCTCTCAGAAATCACTTTCCTACCAACGGATACCAACGGTCAACTTGTCTCAGTTGAAGCTAGTCCTGACTTTCTCTCTCCCAAGGATCGAAGAAATAAGAGGCGGCCTAAACACCCACGAATGGGCAGACCAGCGGAGCCACATGGCGATGATGGCACGGGATAAACCCTGTCACACATCCTGCTGGCCTCAGGGGCGACCATCTGTCAGACTGTAAGGTACCGCGCTGCGACGAATCGACGATAACGGACCGCCATTGGGGGCCGCTTCCCTACCCTAAAAGAGCAAGAGGAGTAAAAGCCAACAGTCATGACAGGGTAGCATCAAGCCAATAACAATCAACATGTGGACTTTTACGTCCTAATTGGGCGGTTCTATCCGAGCTAGAGAGAACGGAATCCCCATTAAGCCCTTCTTCTCATCGATACATGAGAGATCATCAGGGGACCAGTTGAGTTTCGATGATCAACAAGGGATCCAATGACCGCGCATGCTCGGCATTTGAGCTTAACCCGTGTTGGTCTCTTTGGGAATAGAATCGAGTCCTGAGAAAAGGATCCCGTCTTCCCCCTCTCCCTGGTAGGACCCTGACTCTTGTCCCACCTGATTCCTACCTGACGGCGCATCGTCCGTACACGGGCAAGACTCCATGAGTCCATCACCAACAAAGGATGTATCTGGCCGAAAGCGTGCCTTTCGTGCTGTCATCCCCCTGGGGGAAGACGCGCGGAGCCCGTCAGCGGCATTGTTCCCAAGAGTCCAAGACACGTTTTCCGGCTATCATAGCCGTCCTCGACGAGAGGATGAAGAGGGCAGCGCGTTGGTTTCCTCCACCTCCGGACAGTATCCGACAATATCCAAGACCATGTGGCCGTGGGAATAACCTAATCGAGTGGCTGCTAATCCGTCAACGTTGCATTTCATTGAACTACCAATCGCCTCTGTCTCCTTCGTCTTACACTAACGATCCCTGCCATGGAGACGAGAGCCAGATATCCTCATAGGCTCGTAGCCCGAATAGGCGGCATCACACCATCTTTCGGCTGCGTTTCCCCTCGTCCAGTCGTGCTTGAGATGCGCTCCCCGAAGTTCGAGGATACCTTGCTCGGTTTCCGTCCCGGCAGCTGCGCCATTGCCGACACACCAATCTGATCTGGCATATGGCTAATCCTCCTTGGGTAAGGATAAGGAGAAAGCAAGGCATGCAGATAGAGACGATGGAAGGAGAGAAGAGACAAGCGGCCACCTTATAAGGCCTAGTGGCCGCCTCTCTTGTCGAGTCTCACGATGTTGAAGCTGTAGGCATCTCGTCGGTGATTCCGCGCTCACCAAGTCACTCTTTGAACATCAGCCAGGCCAGCTTCGTTGCTGTGCGTCCTCTCATTTCCCCAACGACATTCGTTCTGAATACCCAACACTCTTTGGTCCTCCTTGACCTTGTTCTTCGATACCCTCATCATGGTTCGCTCAAGTGTAATCGGCCGTTTCCTGGCCGGACTGCTCCTTGCTTCCGGCGCAGCAGCTCATACCGAAGGGTGCAGCTGCTCCTCTGATGGCATCCAGCGCGTCACCTACATTGTCGTCGAGATGCCCGATCAGCCCGAACAAGCAGCCTCCCCCTCGTCCTCTTTCACAACCCTAACCACCGTCCCGACGCCAACGTCCACGGAGAGGTTCACCGCGCAAGCAGCGCACGTAATCGAGGATATCCCAGCCTACGAGCCCCTCGCCGTCAAGCCCGAGACCCTTCGTCCAGCTGTAAACACAACACACACCTTTGGCGCCACCGCCGCTCCCGGCATCGACACCAAAGACCCCATCAACATCGTCCCGGCCTCAAATGTCTCGCTCTACTACGCGGCCACGGACACGGAGGAACAAGGTTCCATCGACATGAAGCTCGCGTTCAAGAACCCCGCCGTGGTCCTCGAGCACGTCGACGCCGTCAGCAACGTCGCGTGCGGAGACGACGAGCTCACCGTCTCCTTTTCCTCCGCCGACGCCTTTAACGAGGCTGTCAAGGACTGGTCCGACTCTGCCGAAGAAGGGTTTATCCTCATCACCAACCACATGGGCAACTGCGATGCCGAATTTGAACGGGGCTTCTTCCTCGCAACGGGCTTGACCTCCAGCAAGGGCGACCTATCTATCACGGTCGCAGCTTCAAAGGAGGAGCTCACCAACATCGCCGGCGAGTGCGAAATGTCCTTCACTTCCCTGCCGGCTGCCACGCTCTCCAAGCGCCTCACCCTCGACCCGTCCGTCTCCCTCTCCTTCGCCGAGGGCATCGCCGAGAACACGGTCCTTTATAGCGACGGGCAGTACGTTAACATCACAGCCGACGAGGCCTGGTTCAGCTCCAAGATCACCTTCTCTGGCTACCTAAAGTACAACTTCTGGGGCTTCAAACTGCAGGATCTGTACTTTGACCTAGACACGACCTTTGACTCGGCCGTCGGCGTCTCGGTCGACGTCGCCGCCTCCTACAGCCACGCGCTCAAGTACGCCCCGGACGCGTTATCCTACTCCCTCGTATCCGTCCCCGGTATCGTCGAGCTCGGTCCGGGCGTGGCTTTCGCTGTGGGCTTAGACTTTGACGTCTCTGCTGCCGTCGGCGTCACGGCGGGACTGAGCGTGAGTCTGCCGGCGGGCAACGTTCATCTCGACCTCCTGCACGGGGAGAAGTCGTCGGCGAGTGGGTGGGAGCCAAAGTACAGCAGCTACGCCAACATCACCGAGTCGGCTGATGTGCGCGTCGACGCCTCAGCGGACGTTACCGTGCAGCTGGCGTTCAAGTTGCTCGGCGGGCTGGTCGATCTCAGCTCCGGCATCACGGCGACGCCAGGGTTCGATAACGTGTTCAAGCTGCGCGGAGAGCAGAATCTCGGGGTCAGCGGTAGCGTTGGCGGCGGCAGCAGCAGCAGCAGCAGCACTATCGGAGGCGGTAACTTTACGAGTAAGCCAGCCGAGGTGGCACAAGTTAGTGTGGATGTGCCCAAGGACGGGTTGATCTGCGCCGAGAAGAATGGGGTCGAGTTTGCGACGGACTTCTACTTCAACTTGACTGGCTTCGCAACAAAGTGGTGGAGCGGCGAGCTTTACAGTACCCGGGTGCCGCTTTGGGATCTGTGTTACAGCTTCTGAGGTGCTTCACACCAGTGGTGACGTGCTCTTGGCATGTCTTACGACTTGTCCTTTCTACATTCATGATGTATACTAAGTAGTACCTTAATACCTATTTACCTTGTTCGTACTTACGCAGTATGGTGGGACTCCTGTTCAAGGGTCTCTAAGTTCTTCTTCTTGCTTTACGCAAGAAAACTGCATGAAATCATCGAGTTATGTCCACGTCTTCTTTTCATCGAAGACTCTCTCAATGTTGCTCAAGCCTAACCACGAACGCAGACTTCGATGGCATAATATGGGTCTACGATGAGTATATGCCGCACCAAGACGTGATCAACGCGGGTTTCGCAGACGATCACGAGTTCCAGAGCCACAGAAAGCGAGCGGCAGATGCGAGGGAGATTCCAAGAATAGACGCACCTCTGCTCGGGGGCGGGGAGAACGACAAGAACCCGACGTGATCTGCCGCCCGCCTCTCAAAAAAGAACGAAGGCCGAAACCGGGACGGGAAAGGAGCCTGGTCTCGACTCAACCCCCGGCCCAAGATGATTGGGTCCGGACTTGAGGTGGAATCTTCCCTCACTGTCAAGGACACTCGAGTCGATCGTTCGGAATAGTTCTCAAACCCCCACAATCCACCATCACATCAGTCGAGCCGCTGGCTGGACCTCCGTGGCCCCTCCCTCCTCCCCGCCGCCCCGGCCCAGGGTTGTGGTTCCCCCCGTCCACTGTAAATCAAGCTTACTATGGTGATATTGGAGCTTATTTGCTGTTAATGTTTAAAAAATTCTTATTCCCCCTAGGCCGTGCTCTCTTTACCCCCTTTTTCTTCTATGTGGTGAGGTTGTGTACCGGGGTGTGATGTTTCAGGAGTCTGACATCCCGAGTTACGGATGGCACATGACGTTTATTCGTCCATCGGATGAGCTGGAAGAACTTGGGTTGAGCGTCACCTAACAACTTTGAGTTGGCAGTCTGACAGCCAAGGAGAACCCCAGACGAACGTTTTGGAGGTGGGCTTGGCGCATTGCGTGTTGAGCTTTTTCTGTCTTTGCTCATAGTTCAGATGGATGTTGTCAACCTGAGCAAACTTGCCAAGACTATTTGACGTGGTAGTTGGAGGAATAGAATGCCCCTTTAGCCAAGACTTAGCCAAGACCTTTTTCTGGAGGGATGTTGAGACAAACCGAACTCCTGAGACTGCTGAAATGCGACTACGCGAAACTTTTGTGGAGAAGTCTCCGTGGTGGAGCTGTGAATGTCAACTTCAGCCAAGACCAACCCACAACCTTTCCGCCATCAACAACAAGGGCTTCAATTTGCCTGTCACTTTGACGGTGACTTCGCCATAATACACCGAGGTGCCGGGGAGTTTAGACGTTGGAGGCAGGGTCGATCTGAGAGGCCGCTCCGAGAGTCTGGCACATGCCATGGTTAGAGAGTGGTGACTCGGATCCGTTGATCCAATGGTGGTTTGTTTCACGAGGGTTCTTCTCCCCTGAGGCTCATGGGATGATGGTATTGGCATCATACTCCATGGTCCGTCACGTTGTTACCCACGGGCGGCTGGAGTTCAGCGCAAGAATACCAGATGAAGGCGCAAAGACAGGGGGAACATATGGAGTAGGCAGACCTTAATTGTGAGGTGAAATCGACTGGCAAGTTGGGATATAAAGCATGGCTTCTTGGCCGCTGGTGATAACGATTACTCTACTTCTTCACCCTCACCTCGATCCATCCTTCACCAAGCTCTTCTCCTTCTCCTTTTTCCCTTGAGCCAGTCTCATTCTCTTCAACGCTACTCGGGCAGTAGTTGTTCTTTCACGTGTACTTTATTCTTTTTCCATTCTCACCTTCTCTTTACTACCATATCTCACTCTTCTCCCTACACTTCAATATGAAGTTCTCCACAGCAGCCATTGCCCTTCTAGCCGGCGTCGTCGCCGCGGCGCCCGCCTCCGAAGTCTCCCGCAGCCGCGAGCGCCGCGCCGGAGGCAGCGAACTCATCCAGCAGCTCCAGTCCACCTTTGACCGCAATAACCCGAACGGCACCCCCGCCGCGGCCGGAGACCCGGACGACCTCAACGGTGATGGTGTCATCAATGTCTTCGAGGCAGGAGCCCAAGCCAGCAAGCGTAAGCGCGGTGGTGGCGGTAACGGTGGCCAGCAGGCTGCTGGTGCCGGTGCTGGGGGCAATGGTGCCCAGGCCAAGGGTGGCAATGCCGGCGGTAACGCCAACAACCAAAACAATGCCGGCAATGCTGCGGACGAAGAGGACGCCGCGGCTGGCAACGGTGCTGCCGCTGACGACGGGGAAGATGCAGCTGCCGGTAACGGCAATGCCAATGCAGGCAACGGAAACGCGGCCGCAGACGATGAGGATGCGGCTGCCGGCAACGGCGGCGCTGCGGCGGATGACGAAGAAGACGCTGCTGCTGGCAACGGCAATGCCGGTAATGCGAACGCTGGTAACGCCAATGCTGGAGCCGGCAACGCGAAGGCTGGCAAGAACAAGAACGCCGGTAACGGTGCTGCCAACAACGCTGGCAACGCCAACAATGCTGGAAATGCTGCTGCTGGCAACGGCGCTGCCGCTGACGACGAGGAGGACGCGGCCGCCGGCAACGCTGGCAATGCCGCCAACAACAACAACAATGCAGGCAACGCAGCCGCCGAGGAAGATGCCGCAGCTGGAAATGCCAACGCCGGGAACGCAAACGCCGGTAATGCCAACGCTGGAGCAGGAAACGCAAAGGCTGGCAAGAACAAGAACGCCGCCAACGGCGCTGCCAACAACGCCGGTAACAATGCCGGCAACGCCAACAACAACAACGCTGGCAATGCGGCTGATGAGGAAGACGCTGCCGCTGGCAATGCAGGCAACGCCGCCGATGAGGAAGACGCCGCCGCCGGAAATGGCAACGCTGCTGCCGATGACGAGGATGCTGCTGCCGGCAACGGAAACGCGAACGCAGGCAATGCGAACGCTGGAGCTGGAAACGCAAAGGCCGGCAAGAACAAGAATGCTGGCAACGCCAACAACAACGCCGGTAACGCCGGTAACGCCGGCAATGCCGCCGATGAGGAGGACGCCGCGGCAGACAACGGAAACGCCGCTGATGAAGAAGATGCTGCCGCCGGCAACGGCAACGCTGCTGACGAGGACGCCGCTGCCGGTGGCGCCGCGAACAACGGGACTGCCAACGCCGGCGCCGCTGCCGGCGGTGCTGGTGCGGGCAAGGCTAACAAGGCGAGCAAGGCCAAGGCCTCTCGCAACGGCCGCTCTCTCAACCTCTACGCCGCGCGCAACATTGCGCGCGGCCGTCCCTCCCGGCGCACGTAACTTCTCTTTGGGTGCTGAGGAGTCTGTCTTTCATGCCGCTGCTGGTGGGAAAGGGGACTCTGATGACCTAGACAATCCCAAAGGCGCCGGTGATGACTCTGAACAGACTGGTGGGCCAAAGGGCACAGGCAAAGGCGAGGGCAAGGGCAAGAACAGGTCGAAAGGCAAGTCTTCGTCGTATTCGTCTAGGAAAGGCGACGAGGGCGGAAATGGGCCTGGGAAGGATGGCCGACCTGATCGGTCTGGCGATGGCCTCAGGGTGGAAGAAAGTCCCGCAATGCTCGGTCGCCCTGATGGTCCTGGGTCTGGGCTTGGATTTGCTGAGTTGTCCGAGTTTTTTGAGATTCGGTGTGATGAGTGAAGAAAATAAAGTGGTAATTTAAAACTGGCGTAGCGTTTTCTTGGTTGGTACTCCGTAATGTGAGGGAATACCTGTCTTTACTGTTCTATACCTAATTCAATGAGATGGGGTGATACCATTAATCGAGTACGAGCTGATATGTGCCAAATGTCGCCTAATGCCTATTGGGATGGTCATCTCAATATTGAGTAGAAGACGGCTTACATAAAAGGGTCATGTTGGGTCTCTGGAATAGGTCCATGGATGGAATCAGCTTTGAACCAATTGAAATCTTAGTCGCTAAGCTACAATTGAAGCCACCGTGATTTGTGTATTGACTGTAGTTGAGTTGTGAAGTCAGACCATCCATTTCAACCATCAGGCCTAACGTCACGAACCGGACTATGCGTGCGGGATTGTGGACCGACCTAAGTAACTACATGTAGTAATTAATCAGTTACCAAAGATCGCGATTCTAGCCTGGATCAGTCAACATACATTAGCTTTTCCGAAGTTGCCGCTGCCTCACCGTTGACCGGAGCTGCAGGTCCGGCCTCGAGTTCGCCACGGCCCGCCGAGACACAGCAAAGTGGGACCGGGCGCCGGACGACTCCAAGACTTCTATGACGATGTTGTTGCGTCAATCTTTTCGACGTCACTAACTGGTCACCTAATATCCGAATTACAAACCACTTACTTCCCATATGAAATCTGAATGCACGTTGTATAAGATTCAAAAGAAGAAGACCGTCGCACTCACTAATTAGACTTAAAATTACCTTATAGACAAGATACCCCTGATCATCAACCGAAGACCACCACGCTAGAATTATACCCAAAGTACCTTGGAGAAGAGAAGAGAAACAGAAGCTCCTCAGAGAATAGTAGAAGAGAGAAAAGACTCACAAAACCACCGCCATGAGTTCACAAAGCTCAGTCTTCCAGCTAAGCGGCACATGCAACAACTACGACTGGGGCAAAAAGGGTCGCGACTCGCTCGCCGCACGCCTCTGCGAAAACACCCCAAGCGGCTTCACAATAAACGACAATGAAGCCTACTCAGAAATGTGGTTCGGCGACTACCCCGACTTTCCCGCACGCGTACTGGAGACAGGCGAGCTCCTCAAGGACATCCTAGACAAGAACAAGGAACAACTGCTCGGCAAAAAAGTCATCACCGAGCTCGACGGCCAGCTCCCCTACCTTCCCAAGATCCTGTCCATCGCAAAAGCCCTACCCCTCCAGATCCACCCAAACAAGTCTCTCGCCAGCAAGCTCCACGAGCAGGACCCCGAAAACTTCACCGACGCCAACCACAAGCCCGAGATTGCTGTGGCACTGGGTCCGTTTGAGGTCTTTGCCGGGTTCAAGCCTCTGGACCAGATCTCGCCCGTGTTCAACATCCCTGCCCTGCGCGACCTGATCCCCGATGGGACGACTAGGTGGACGGACGAGACGTTACGGGAGGTCACGCGCCGCATTCTGCTCGCCGATGAAAACACTGTCGAAAAGGCCTCAAAGGCTCTCGGCGGCACCCCGCGCGAGGAGCTGGGCGGGAACGGTTACGTGCTGGATCTTCTGCCGCGTCTGCAGGATCAGTTTGGTAAAGGCGACAACGGCATCCTGGTTGCGCTGTTGTGTATGAATTTTTTGTCGCTGGAGGCTGGCGATGCGTTGTATATCCCTGCCGATGGCATTCATGCTTATCTGTCTGGGGACATTGTGGAGTGCATGGCTCGTTCGAACAACGTCCTCAACACGGGCTTCTGTCCGCCCGGCGACAGGAACAACATTGATTTGTTCAGCAAGACGTTGACTTTCATGGCGCATAGCAAGAATGACGTGCTTTTACCTGCGGAGAAGAGTGATCGCGGCACACAAGGACGTACGGTCGTGTATCCGCCGCCGTTGAGCGAGTTCGACATGTTGAAGACGGATCTGGACGAGGGCAGCAAGGCGGAAGTTCTGAAGGCGAGTGAAGGACCCTCGGTTGCTATCGTCACTGACGGCGAGGGAGTTCTTGAGGCGGACGGGAAGAAATTTGACGTCAAGGCTGGTCATATTTATTTTGTTGCTCCCGGCATCGAGGCCAAGTGGGAAACCAAGGGGAAGATGCAGGTCTTTACGACTGTGGTCTAATCGGCCTGGCGGTCAGACTTTCAGTAGAGGATGCGCAACAGATTATACATATTTAGAATATGAGAAATGCGACCTGATGAGGCAATGGTCTGGGTTCTCTTCATCCTGTATGATAAGTACTTTGAAACAATGGCCGCTATAGCGATAGAATTGAACTGTTCCGGCTTGAGCGAAGTGACAATTCACCTGTCTCGAAGTAAGAAAGATGAGCTTGATTTGATCGTAATGTCGAACGGTCAAGTAAATTTTGTTCATCGAATTAGACTTACGTGCTATTGGAGTATCTATTCTAACATCATTCAAAAATAAGAGTATCACACTATGTCTCCCGGACGACTATAACCGCACATTCAATTTTCTGATGCCTGCTTATAACCGCTTATGTTTCAAGCCCGTGGTCGATGATCTCTCCGTCTCGCGCTCTTGACGGCACTTTCAACCGCCAAAGGTAGATCGAGATGGAAGAACGGTCTGTTGATAGCCCCAACAGCCGCGAGGTGTCGAATTCCTCCCTCTTTGGACCCCAGAACACCCTGCTCCATAGCCGATGAGGAGGAAGACTGCTCGGAATCACTTGCCACACACGCCGACTTCGACCTCGTTGTAACAAGTTGCTGCTCGCACATCATCGGCGGCCGCCCTGCCAAATCAGCCAGACTGAAAACCGGCTCCCACCCCTCCAAATGACCCGTCCTCGGACACCCAAACCCAGACACCGACAGCGCGCGCCGCGTCCACCGGTTATGAACACCAGCAAAGTGCCACTCCACTGGCTCCGGTGCCGCCCACCTATCGAGTTGGTTCCGCAGGTCAATCAAGCCCTCCACGGCGCCCGAGTCCATGTTATTCACGGCAGCGCAGTCGAATATGACGGCCCGGAGGATCGGCTTCAGCAATGATGGGGACTCGTTATCGGTTTCAACTGTCGAGAGTGGCGGAACGGGCTCGTTCCAGGGGCGGTCGCCTGGGTGGTCGTAGTGTGGTGTCGTCGTGCGGCGGGTGGAGTGCGTGACGTGCTCGATCAAGCGGTCAACGTACTGCGCTTGGTTCAGGTAGTTGAAGCCCTCGGTGAAGCGGTAGATAAACACCCCTGGGTAGAGCTCATTGACTTGAACAGCTGGGTTGGTGCCGTCTTTGCGATCTAGCGGGAGGAACACGTCGTGTGATGCCGGGAGACGCGGCGACGGAGGGGCTTTGCCGTGGAAGAGGGTCTGCGAGCTGCTGATGGAGTGGTGGTCCGAGTCTTTGTGGTCGAGGGTGGTGCTGGTGCGGTGGTCCGGGTGCTGGTAGACGCGCGCGGCGCCGAGGAAACGGCCTTTGGAGCGGGCGAGGCGGAGGAGGAGAAGGGCTGCAGAGAGAGCTACTGTGACGTAGATGCCGTCTTCGAGGCTGGTGAAGATGGAGACGAAGACGCCAATGAAGTAGATGAAGACGTCAGGCGGTGACATGAGCCATGACTTGAAGATGTGGTCTGGAGAGGTTATGAGGTTGATCACGGCGTGGATGATGAGAGCTGCTAGGCTGGCCATGGGGATGTAATAGAGTACTGAGGTGAGAGCGTATAACGCGAGGAGGAGAATCGCTCCGTTGAAGACGCCGGCCATTGGTGTCCTCACTCCGGCTTTTGAGAGAATTGCGGTGCCGCCGAAGGAGCCTGTCGAAGAGTATGCGCCTAAGAAGGGGCCGAATAGGTTGGTGCATCCGATTGAGATAAGTTCCTGAGATGGCTGGACAGTATAGTTGTTGATGCGACCAAAGGACTTGCCGATAGCAATGTGCTCAATCACAAGAATGATGACCGTAGCCGGTAGATCTGGCAGCAGCGCCGAGATCAGCTTTGTATTTAAAGAAGGCGGGCCAGCGTGTGTGAAGCCTTTGGGCAGTGTCCCTGTTATACGGAACTTGTGCTCCCCGTTCTCTAGCCCACGGTTCACCAAAAAGCTGATAAGTGTGTATAGCAAGATAGTAAAAGTCATGCGCAGCGAGCAGAGCATCTCCCACATACGCTTCCGCTTAGGCTGCGACCTGGCCATGCGCTCCGTGTACCACTTGATGGCAGCCAGCAGCACCAGAGCCGTCAGCCCGATGGCGGCATCGAGCTTAACGCGGGGCAGACCACGGGCCGTGTTGATGAAGACGCGATAAGCGGCCTCTTTGGAGTTGACGCCGTCGATGCCGAGGAGGGATGGAATCTGGCTGAGGGTGATTGTGATGGCGGCGCCGGTGACGAAGGCGGAGATGGCAACGTGTGGGATGAACTCGATGATCCAGTCGAGGCGGAGAAGACCGAAGACGAGGAGGACGGCACCGGCAAGGAAGGCAAGGGTTTTGGAAATTTCTTCTGGTTGGAATTCGCCAGGGTGTTCTTCGAGGACTTTGGCGCTGACTTTGCCGACGAGGAGGGAGACGACGGCGGTTGCCTGTTATACAGTCAGTATGAAATTGTCACAAGGATGTGACACTATGAGCATCTTACTCCTATCGCAATATCCTTGGAGGTTCCGAATATCCAGTAAAGAGCTGCACCAGTGAATGATGTGTAAAGTCCATATTCAGGACTTAGGCGGGCGAGGAGGGCATAGGCCATAGCTTGTGGGATGACGACGAGACCAAGTGTGACACCTAAGTAAGGGATTGTTAGTTGATGCCGCCAACTTGCCTGGCCTGGAACCCCGGAAGTGCTTACCCGCAATAGCATCTGAGATGAGCCAGCGAGTGTTGTATCTCAAAATCCATTTCGTAAAGGGAAATAGGCTTTTGACATAACGAGCTGATCCTTCTTTTGTTGGTACTTGCTCCAACAGCCACTCCTTTACTGTGGGATCCTCTTCATAGTACGGTTCGTATGGAGAAATGGCGTTGACAACGTGGTCGTGGAGGTCTTGTGTCTGGTGGCGGGTGCTGGCTTCAAGATCGATACCGAGAATCTTTGCGAGAAACGCACCAGCTTTGCTGGCCGCCATATTGGATACAAATATGCTTGCTGCTATTGGATGTTGGGTGCTTATGCTAATTGGAGAGTATGGTTGATAGTTTCCAATGTCGGTTCAAAAGACTAGATGTCAAGCCGTTGATAGCTGTCACTCGATGTAGAGGAAGCAAAGATCGTCACCGTTCAGATGGAAAGGGCCGAGCGAAGACAGTGTACCTAAGTATGAGCCGAAAGAATACATGGGTTGGTTATAGGACAGAGACAACGGCTGTCTCGAGAGGCAAAGACCGACCGCTTTACAAGAAGCCGCACCGCCAGCCGCCTTGGCGCCCGAGACTTATCGAAGGTCGGACAAGGGGGAAGCTAGCTTGGCAGCAGACCGGGGAAGATAATCCTTACGTTATGGGGCCTTGACACGGCGAGCTAGAACAAGTTTCCTCGGGTCTTCTTTGAGTGAAGTACAGGCAGTATCTGGGCCAGGTCTAGTTCTTTGCTCGTCCCGGGCACTTTCATGTTGACTAACATCATAACATGACACTGACGCGATGCGAGACATGAGAGGAAAACCTGGAGGGAAGAAATTCAGATTCTCGGGCATCTAGTCAGCATCCTCAACAAGCCATCACGGCAGTGGCAGAGATTTCGTGGGGAGGGCGGGTCCCGTTCCCACGATGCCGGCGTTGACTAGACTCTCTCGGCGACCAAAGATGATGGCCTAGAGGCTAGTGCCCTAGATGTGGATCACGAACATGAACGGTGGAGCAAGACTTGACTTGTGTCGCCGACGTGGATGATGCGAATGATAACGCGTTGGCACGCCCGCAAAGTGCTGTCGACGGTGAGTGATGGTTGTCCTTTTTTGGTCACCGGCCGATAGCCGTCCCGGAAGAGGCTGGGTGGCGCGGGTATCGGTCCTCGGCGGGCGGGATCCACGATGGGGAACCGGCGCGGCCCCGTTTGTCGGGGATCAATGAAGGTCACGCTTCCTTGTCTTACGGTGGTAAGAGTATTAAAGTTGCCGCTTCACGGCTGTTTTATTCTTCTCTTGGCATTGAGTTCATGCGGCTCTGGCGACTGGAGCACGTCTCGTCGCCAACGACTGCGATGGTCCTCAGTCAGCTGTCGTCAAATCTCATGAGGAATAGCACCCTTACTAAGGTACAGGGATATGGGAACATTCCTGATTCTAGATGTTTCAACAAAGTCGTGACGTTCCAATAGAGACAAAAAGATAAGATCCCGGTCTACTACCGGCACTCGGTCGGTTTCCACTACGGCGGCATATGGAGTCAACTACGGTGACGTCGGTTGCCGTCAAAGGCGGTGTCGTCCTGTTGAAGCACCGGCCACATGATTTGGCTCATCAAAGGCTATGCCTTCTTTAGTCAGAACCTTTGTTGGTTGGCAGGCGTGGCACTCTGCGCTAGTACAACTTACCATCTCGCGATATTGTGAGTACCTATCCAATCGCTCTTATTTCCAAACCGTGCTTTTGTGAACCAAATCACAGTCAGTATCTGGCTGTCATAAAGTTGAGGGTGACAGGAACGAGAATCAGTTCTACCTTAGCTTGTCGATCAGACTACTTAGATGACAAACCTCTCGGAAGTCGGCAGTCCCATTCCGAGATGCAAACATCTCGCAACATTGGCTCAATGGTCTAGAGGTATGATTCTCGCTTTGGGTTCCGACGTCTGTCTACTCTGCGAGAGGCCCCGGGTTCGATCCCCGGTTGAGCCCCTTCATTTTGCTTTTTTGCATCATTGAATTATGCCATGTTTGCTTGGTTGATGCCGTGGTATTTGTAGTGTTCTCGCGGGCTTGGAGAAAGTTTGGAGTCGTGAATTACACGCGGGATCGGCACGGAGCGTAAGTGGGTCCAAGCATCGGCCTTCACCCCGGCTAAGTCCGACAATGTTGTTCAGCTCGAGACTCTGCTGTTCCTTGACCTCTTCGCCTTTACCGGAGCCCGGAGTTGGACGAAGTTCGCTGTCGCCTGAAAAAAAGCATATATCGAATGATCTGTCACCATCCATCACGCGAGCCTAAGATCGGATATGCGTGGGAA